ATATTTTTCACCATCCTTAGTATCTAATCTATTATAAAGATCATTAAAAACAGAATTTTTTGTGTCACAGGTTGTTCTTTTAAACTCCCTGCGGGCCGTTTGATATTTTTCTCAGTTTTCTAAGTTTTTACATTTAAACCAATTTTTATAACATAACTTCTTATTATTCTACCACCAACTATTTTTATTTATAAAAACTTTTTCTTCTCATTCTCCAAGCACATTTTTTGTTACTTGTTTAATAGTGTTTGTTACTTTATCTCACATAACATTTATTTCTTCATAAATATCCCAAAATTTGAAATCTTGAATTTTACTCATAAAAATAATTTTATTTGTGTCTTTTAAGTTCCTCCATCTAATTCTACGATGATGAGTCCCAGTATTTTTTATTTTACAAATCTTCATCTTAAAAATAAGTAATAAATAATAAAATTCAAAACCAATCTCAAGCATAGACAATTTGAACAATAATAATCAGCCTTAGAGTCAATGAAGATTCTTGAAGGACGCAACTCATGGACAAAAAATTTCCAATCAGAATAGGTTAATTAGTTATCCTGACTAAGTAGATTCAAAACCAATGGTATCAAGATGAAACAGCCATAGGATCTTAACTGGTGTCGCATCAAAATAAAATTTAATTGTTTTTATTCACGTCACACCACCAATTCTAGACGTCATAAGACACTCACCTATAGATGTTATAGGAGTAAATGGCTTTGTTGTATGCTTGTTAGAAATGTTTGGTCAGGACGGATTGCTTCGCTAGGCTGAATATTTATGACGAGTAGATTATACTTTTTGTGCATTCCTATACTTGTTAGTTTAGGTTGTACTAGTTTGTTTTGCATGTTTCTAGGCTGATATAATAAACCTTAGATGTGCTAACTTATTTTTGCAGGGTTGTTGTAGCAACCCAGAGCATAGTTGAGCTACGTTGTTATAGTTTCATAGGCTTTTCTTTTATTGAGTCTTATTTTCAATAGAGTTAGGGTGTCTATCATAGTTTGTCAATTATTGACATCCGGATGATTCACAAGAGGATGAACAAAATGCAAATGATGAACCCCAACTAAATGAAAACGGTCTTCAGATGTCAATTTTAGACTGACCGGTCTGACACATGTCTAAGGTTGGTACCCTTAGTCGTGTCTCTGCTTTGTTATTGTTTTTGTTGTTTTCGATATGTCTGACCAAAATTCATAGCATTGCTTTCTGTGCTTTTTGCCTGGATTTGCAGTATGCTCTATAAGGACTATATTTTCTACCCAACAAAATTATTGAAACATAATTTTTTAAAAATAAAATAAAACTCATAGCCAAACAAAGTTGCACTAAAACGTTGCATTCACACCTTAGTCAATCATACATTCTAAAATAACAAAATTGACAAATAAAAAAAATAAAGTAGGAACCTCTGTATGATTTAAGAATAGTCACGAAAAGATCACTATAGGCATAATTATAGGCATAATCATTACATATTGGTTATATTCCTTGTCTTCAGGCCCTCACTCTTTGCATGGAGAAGTGGTTTGACCCGTGAAACCACTATCTTATATAATGAGTTCTGCCACTACATACCGATTGGCCTTTTGAACAAATCTTCTGTGCATTTAACATCAAGGAAATAAATTCCTATTCACAACCTGTTATTGATCACTTGACACTAATAATTAACCCAAAATAATAAAATTCAGCTAAGTGTGGTGAAATTTAAAATATTTAATTTTAAATTGCAAAAATAAAATAGTATTGGTCTTAGAACATTCTGCATATCATATATAATTAGGCATCTTGATCGGTACGATCAATTTGTAAGAACTACAGATCTTAATAAAACAATAACCTATCATATATTAAATTCATTGAAATTAGCCTTCATGATTTTAAAATTTGTTAAGGTGATTTGGATGAAAGTCATTTTCAGGTAGGGTTGTAAATTCATTCTGCATATTTGTTTGTGTGATTTATTTTTTTAGACTAGATTTTGATATTTCACTTTCTTCGGTGAACACGCCTTATTTTAGGATTCTGAGATTTTTCGTCGAGCACGACGTAACATACTAACATTCCTAGGCCTTCTCGCAATCTTATATCATGGGATATAAGAACTAAATTTCTAAATAAAATTGCAGTATTGAAACATCAAATGACTTCTCTTTCAAAAATATAAAATCAAACCACATGATAGTTGAAATGTTACTGAGGTTTTTTAGTATCTTCAAGATCTGCTTTTCATTCCTTTGAGTTCCAAAAGTAATTGTTCCACATTGAGACTTTAGCTAATTATTTTCATATAATCAATTTCGGAAACTAAACTTCGAATTCTTAAAGGCATAACATCAATCTTAATCAAGAGTTCTCTTAAGTGATTTCAATCACTCAAGATATAATTAATCATAGAAATTTGCGCCTATAGAAAATTAGCAACCCAAATAATCAAAAACCAATATAATCTTCAAATTAGAGAGGGGAACGATCTATTAGTAATTTCGCAGATCAAGCAAATATCCTAAATTTTTTTGTTTAAATAATTGAACTCATTATTAAATGATATTCTCATTTTTTGAGATGACATTATTTATAATGTCAATTATTTAAACAATTAAATATTCAAAATTTGTTCCGTATTATTTTCAAATTCAAAACCTTTCAACAAAAATAAAACCAACACGCACGTCATCATTTTGCCTTATGCGAGTCTGCGTTCATCTACCAGAAGCAAGGGTCTTTAGGTTTATAATGTTGATCAATGCACCTCAATTAACAAGGATTAATAAGAGTCAAATCTGCTCAATGTTTACTGATCTAACAGTTGACTATTATAGTTGGTGGTTCCTAAGTGTAGAACCTCCTCGAAGAAAGTAACTCCAGGAACATCTATAAATTATCATGCTTCATCCAATGAAGTGGTCGCCAACTCGGCCAAATCGATCTCTGGATCTAGTAAGGCTTTAGTAAAAGACTCACTCATTTGATAAGATGAGAGCATCATAGATACTCAACTTGACGGCTGTCTTCCTTAGATGAGCAAGAATGTTATAATCAACCTCAAGCTGATATCCATACCTGGCTCCCAGGGAGAAGCTTCTCATGGCAACACCAAATCTATAAGGCCAATAATCTATTTTCCCTTGCCTTGGGATACTTTCAAGGTGGTAGTACTTTGCTGCTACAAAGTTAAGCTTCCGTGATTTCTTCTGTGTTGTACTGGATTAGCACCCATTGAACTTACCGTATCTAACAAAGCAAATTTGAAAGTAAGAGGGACGCCCGAAAAAGTAAAGATTTGAGCGTCACTATATGAAGCTGTGTTATGGGGTTCATTCAGTTCGGAGGAAACATCATGATTTAGATTAGATTGTGAATTATTTTCTTTTCAGGATAGGTTATGAAATTTTTTCGTTACATTCACATCATTAGCAGAAAGAATAGACAAGTAGACAGAATCCCGATTCATTGATTCAGGTGATGGAGAGGCAAAGTATAAATCATACAAAGTGAGCGACACGACGGGTTTAGTATCCGTCCAGAAACACAACAGTGCAAGAGATAGGAATAGAAAATATAATAGCAGTAGGATAATAGCAACTGAAGTGAAAATAATTGCATTCCTAACATCCTGAGGAATTACTAGTTGTTGAACCGTCCACTTACAAAACAAAAAGAAGGCGCAATTGCTTGGTCATGGTAACATTTTTATATTTTGGTGATGTGATGAGCTTGACTTCTTCACGCATCATGTTTGATGTGAGAACAGGAATATGGCAAGGAGCCCTTGCTAAGAAATAGGAGAACAAGAAGGCAACATACAAACCTGGTTATTTTGAATTAAAATGCGGTGTATGTGATTTTCTGCCTGATGAGGGAGTAATGGTTTTTGGAAGTTCAAGATATGATGGACATCTGGATTACTCCTGGGCTTCTGATCAAACCACCGAAAATTTGTTACATGCTTTTATGAATCACTGACATCATGCTTGATGTTGCAATTTTCTTATTTAATGCGTGCTTTGCTTTTAAAAAGTAAATTGTAAAAAACTTGGTATTTACTTGATATTTAAAAGTTTACTTGTACTTGCATTTGCATCTAAGAATTCCTTAAGAGAATAAAATGACTATAGAAAAGTTTTGTTCTAGAATTCCCCCCAATTAGGCTCATGCAACTAACTAGGGGTGTCAAAAATTAACCCGACACGCTAACACGACCCGAAAAATCCGATATTTTTGAGTCGGGGTTCGGGTCAGACCAAAAACCCAAACATGACCCGAATAAACACGAAAATTCAGGTCGGGTTTGGGTTAGCAGGTCAAGCTCAGGTTAGGGACTTAATTTTCGACCTGTTTATTATTCAGACCAGGTTTGGGTTGATCTTATTCGGGTCGGGTCATTTTCAGGTCGGACCCATAGCCAACCCAGTGGCTCGAATTGACACCCCTACTAACACCTACTATAAATAGAGTTAATATTTGCATATTACCAAGCTTAGTAGGTCCAACTTTTATTTGTTTGGTAAGCCTTTTGGAGTGGGAAGAAGAAAACATGGAATTGTATTTGGGTAGGTTCTTTGCTAAGAAGTGGTCGGCAGGTTTTTTGTATAGGTTAGGCAATGGCAAATATGTATGAGAAGGATGCTTTCTTTCTTGCTACAATTGAGTTTTCGCATAGTTCTTCAAAGAAAATAGGACATTCATGCACAAGTATGGCCAAGCAAAAGTCTTTAAGATTTGTGTGACGGTTGCGTAGTTGATGTGATGAGTTTAATTTGCATGATTATGTTGGTGACGATGTCAGCTTATGATCTAATACATGGGTTGGTGATGATATGCACAGTTGGCTTGAGAAAATGTTGGAGAGAGAGAGTCAACAATGGGAGGGTGAAAAACTCATTTCAGTTGAGTTTCCCTAATGCCATGTAGAAAATAGCAATTAAGGAGAAATTATATTTTCCACAAATTAGAGCTTCTGTGCAGTATTTATAGATACATATATATATATAGATAAAAAAGGTGCATCAACAAAACATAATTATTACAAAATAACAACAATCAACCGTTTGTCCCAAATGCATCGCATATACTCACAACATACAAAACACTTCAATTGAACGGACCACTGCCATATATATGATGTAAAATCACAACCAATTACGAACAATAACAAGTTAAATAACATTGGAATAATAACGTACCAGCCAAGCTATACCGTCTTATAGAAAGAATATTTTCCCCCAACAGCAGCTGGGTTATGAAGAAGCAGGTTGGACAGATGGGTTGAAGGGCTCCTGCTCAGCACAATCCAGATTGTCTCCTGAACTCTGCCGGCCAACCCCCATCAAATCAAGGTAATACTGGTAGTGAGATATGATGTTGTTCATAGAATCTACATAGCCCTGGCCGCAAACCGCATCTCCATAAAGAATGTTCATGGTGGTGCCGAAGCCGGGTAGCCTTTTAGCCAAAGTATCATTCTTCGTCGGTTTCCAATTTTCGACGAAGACGTCATGAGCGGATGGCTGTTTCTTCTTAATGGGGTTCATCCATCTCCACATGGCGGCTTGGAAGGCCAAAGTTGCATTCTGTTCCAAGTATTCTGGGTGGTTCAGAAGATCAACTTTCAGCCCATCACCAATGATACCGTAGTTATAGTTCCTGAATTGATTTTAGAAAAATGAGATTTTACTATATCCTCTTCCTGACAGAATTCAGTGATAAAAAAAAAAGAAATAGTATTTGTTCGCAAACCAGTAGACTGGAAGGGCGCCTCGGCCATGATATTCAGCTCCGGGTGTGCAAGGATAAAGGTAGTCATCTTTGCAGTAGGATTGGCTTGGGCTCATCTCATGGTTATAGCACAGACCCCATGCAAGCGGACCGCCAGTTGCGACACCATAACCACCTGCAAAGGAAAAAGTCTGAATTAGAATCAACATACATCTTCATTTCATGGTTTAACAATGGATGATTCTTAGATCAATAATTGTAGCACAGAAACTAATGAAAAATGTTGTAGATATGATTAAGATGGAATTACTACAATGAGAAATGATGAATTGCATGTAACTTCAAAGATATGAATCGGAAATCTAGGGTGTCATTCTCAACTTTTCCTATGCATGATAGCATCAATAATCTTCATAAAGAAGAATTGGAGCAACAAAAGGGAAATGCATATCGCCTCTGCAAGATAGTATTGGAGTTCTTCACAAAGATGTATGGGATCCTGCAATGATTGAACTATGCACTGGCTCTATAGGAGAGTCCAACCACTTTTTAAGAACAAAAAGAATGGGAGCTTGCGAAGTGGGGGTTATGAGATGCGAGTTTTCTCCCATCACCAATGGGATATATTTATAATTGAGGGATGATAAGTTACAATATTGTATGGAAATATCTGTAATTCATTAGATTTTTTTGCAAATTTTCAGCACTACCTTGAGCACAAATAGCATTTATAGAATTAAAAAGAAATTGATGTAATTAAATTATCAACATGTTTTAAATAAAAATAAACTAAATAGTTCCAATATGTAGATGGTCTATATGCTTATATTACTCTCATCAGTCGAAGGTTCCCTGCACCACAATTAACACTGATCAGCTGACTAATTCTGCCATTAGCGCAATTATAAGGACAACTTCAAATTATTTTCTATGTTATGGAATAAATTTTTGGCATTTTGGAAACCCCACAAAGCCTCTACCACCACTTTTGAGCAAATTTAGAGAGTTTGAGTGGATTTTTTAACAGCTTTTACTCTAATTGATGCTCTAACTTCATGGAAGATTAAACTTAATACTAAGAAGATTTTAATTTATTCACAGCCCCAAGAAAGATTCATATTGACATCAAGGGATCTGTCATACTTTTTAATTTTGCATTTCTAATTTTTCAAAAAGATTCAATCTATTTTCAGCCGACATAAATTCTGATGTTTAAAATAGCAAAGAAATAATGTAACTAAAAAAAATCATGCGATTAATCATGAATCTCAATGCAATATTTAAGATTTAAATTTTTTAATTTAAATTCAAAACTACCGGCTCTGATTTTATTAAATTTAAGCTAAATTGAATATGCCGATATGATGAGTCTAATGACTGAAAATATTTCTTCTATTAGAGTCCTAATGTGCCCCTCAGATACTCAAAAAGTAAATGAAAATATTATGAAATTATTTGAAGAACTAGATGATCTCCAAATCTTATATATTTATAGTTGAAATAATGTTTTGATTAGAGAAATCCAATAAGCCCGAAATCACTTAACTTCAAACTCAAGCACTTGCATGTTGATCAAGAGGATTGGCATGGGATATCCGTTGTAGTATTTAAAAATTTTGGCTAAAGTTACCGAGTGTCATGCCAAAATAATTATAAATAGACTCTTATTTTCTACATGAAAAGAACTTAACCTAAATTTAGGGTGAGTCTAGACATCTTAGGAGCTCTATAGGACAATCCAACACTTGATGCCAATAATCACCACTCGCAACCACCATCACTCAGTCATTGTTCTATTGTCGACGACAAACCTCCATAGCTCATCCACCACCATTTAACCATTATTGAATGTTGTTGTAACTTCACCAAAATTGTCGAACCATCATCAACCAATCATAATATCTCATTTGTCATTGTCCAACCACAATCACACGATAGCCATAGCGCATCTGTCACCATCCAAATACAATTGCTCAACTGCTATCGTCTAATCATCAACATCACCATTCACTATAATCCGACATTCTCTAATACAGCCTCAAGGTGTCAAATTAGTATTTATATTTTGTAATCCCACATTTCCAAATTAAGGGGATGAGTAAACTAATAAATGTTTATTCATAAAGTGGAACATTTCAACTAGGTCTAACTTCACATTTCCTTCCCTTTTTCAAGCTTTTTCACATAAAAATGTCCATTTATGAACTTATTTTATCTGTGTGTGTGGGATTTTTGTGTAAGAGTAGAAGATAAAACTCTCTAATACCACAAATATTTTAAAATCAAACAAAACTTACCTACAAACAGCATGATAATGAGTTTTATAAATAGTTATTCAAGGCTTGTTATTCACAGCTTTAGATTTGAAAAAAAATTTTCCTTTTAGTCCTCAATTTTAAAAGAACATGTTGGATGTATGATTCCTTTAGTAATAGTACAAATATGACTACCTGGTTCTAAAAAGTCATCTTGATCAAGAGAGAAAAGATTGAATATCGTTGAATTTTAGCGTCATTCTTCATATATAATACATGATATAAATAAACTGAGAATATCATTCAATGAAAGAAAAATAAAGAATATAAAATTGAAAAAATTGTGGCTTGATTGTGTGAATATAAGAAATTAATCAAATAATTTAAAATCATTAATGATTTTATTATACCTTAACTTTCAACATACTGTTGAATCCGGATTTATCTTATACATCGTGCTAAAGGAATTGAGCATGGAATCTGAGGGAAAG